CACCCAGCCAGAGTCACCGCCCTCTACCCCCAGACCCTCCAGTGCTCTCAAAGCAGACCCGGGCTGGGCAGTTTCCTCCATCTGAGCCACTTTGTCACCTGGTGTCAGGGCTCACAGTCCTACAAACCGCCCTAACTGCTCCCGCCCCCTCCTTCAGGCCCCCAAATCAGCCCAAGGAGCCATGGGGGGTGCAGGTGGGGCACAGAGGCGTCCCTCCCCACCCCCACTCTCCCTCCCACCCATGCATTGAAAGCCTGTTGTCAGTGTTTGCAGAAGCCGGCACCGCAAACCTGGAAGCCCAAGCAAATTGACCACACCCTCGTGCCCTGAGAAGAGAATTCAGCCACGCGGCTGAGTTCATGGGTAACGTTCAGACATCAACAGCACTTGTACATACCGACATCATCAGGAGATGTGATGACAGAAAATGCACCATTTATGTGACAATGACAACAAAACACAAAATGCCTAGAAATTCAGTCACAGGAAGTCGTGAGAACTTTCACATCCCATTGAGGGGCACGGAAGACTGGGATGGCCGGACAGGCATGCCATGTCGTCACTTACAAGGTTCAACGTCACCAAGATGACATCTCCCTAAATTCACAGAGTGATCACCGTCGAATTAAAATCATGAGAAGGATTTTTTTAGGGAGTAATTAGTGAATTCTAAAGTCCATGTGGAAAAACAAGATATCCAGGAATAACTAACGAAATCTAAAAAGAGGAACAGGATTATTACATGTTCTAGAGCTACCGCAATGAAAACTGTGGCAATCACCCTGGATTTTAGACAGAGAGGTCAGAGGTAGAAATAGAAACACCGGGAATGGCCCTAAAATGTGTGGGTGTTCACACATGGTAAAGCAGGTGATGGAAGGGCTGGGGAGTTAGATGATTAAGTCGGTGGTGTTGGAATAATAGGGCTGCCATCTGGGGGAAAAGCCAAAATCATTTCTCCCTCATTTTATACACACACACACACACACACACACACACACACACACACACACCAAAGATCTAAATGTAAAAAAAAAAAAAATGAAATTGTGAAACTACTAGAAGATATCATGTAAGAATTTCAAAAAATTATCTGAGTGGTGGGAGTTCTGTCTAAGCATGACACAGAAATCCTGAGCTATAAAAGGAGACATCGATACATTCAACGAGAACATGTTTAAGCCTGCCTTTTACAAAGCACCATAAACAAAGTTTTAAAAGTTAAAAGTAAGTTAGCAAAGCAATGCGTACCCCTACCCCCACTCCAGCCCGCCTCTTGCAGAGAGCTCTCCCAGCTGTCCAGCCAGGTGAGCAGCCTCCCTCTGAACCCCCCCCCCACCCGGTGCACTCAGCCATGTTCCTCCTTGGTCTGCTGTCACTTGTTTGTGTCGACACTGCTTCAGAGGGTTGCAAAAGTGACTATGTGCCAAGGTCACTGCCCACCCAGGATGTTCACCAACCTGAGGACCTTCTAAGACCCTGACAATTGGGCACACGGTTATGGGTTTTTGTGTATTTTGCAGACATAAAATATTTTAACCAGAATCCCCTAAGTGCTCCGTCTCTTTTTTCTCTGACTCATTCAGACACATGTCCCCTCATGAGGAGTGCCACTAGACTAAGTGTGGGCATTTTTAGAACACATTCAAGGGAGCATTGTGTAAAGTGGAATTAGGGGTAGAGTTAGTGTTTGGGTTGGTTGAATACACATACACAGTTTGCAGTAACTTCCACACGTAGTCCCCTTATTGCTAGCTCTTCTGGAAAAGCTTCCAGAAATACTCCTGCCACCCATTTTTATAACTTCCCACCATTGTGACAAACAGGTGTTGGGTCAAAGGTCAAATCTCATCTGGATTTCCCACGGATCCAGCACCGTAGTAGGCGGGATGATTTCAATCCTCAGCTGAGTCTGGTTGTGGGGGTCGCTCCTCGCTGATGTCCACCATCAAACACATCTCAGGTCGGCAACCTGAGGGGGCAGCACACCTGGTTTCTGATGGACTCGCGCACAGTAGGACTTACCAGAGCGCCTTAACTGCACATCTGGGGCGGTTATGTGAGCAGCGATACGTCTGAAGATAAGTGTCTTATGCTACTCCATGATCAGCAATGAATAAGCTAAAGGAACAACTGTAATGATCGTGTCCACCTCCCTAGAGAAAACAGTTCGGAATTATTGGCACAAGAAGAGGCAGTCAAAGGGGAGGCTGGAAAAATGTAAGAAATGCGGTACAGGGCGCTGTGTGAGGCGGTGAATTAATAGCAGTGCTCCAGTGCCTTTCCAGATGGTGTGCTGTTTGTGAGTTTGTCACTTTTTTTAGTTTGTCATTTCTTTTGAAATTTCTCTTTTAATTCTAAATAAATATTTGAATGTGATTTCCTACTCATAATGGTGTGTTCCTTTCCCTAAAGACGCCCAGAAACTGAGTTCATCACATATTGTTCTTCAAGAGGCCTCATGTCTGGGGACATAAAAACCAGATGCCCTACGTGACCAGGATTGGGCAGACTGGCCACGAGGGACATTTGGGGGGAATTGAAGTCGCTTGCCTTCTGAGTGACTCTGGGGACAGAGGAAGATGGGTGAAGCGGGGGCTGGTGAGATGGGGGGCAGGGGCTCCTCCAGGACCTTGTGACTTTTCAATGCTGGGGCCTGACCTGGTGCTGGGGACAGAAGGGAGGGGCCGGGATGGGACAATACCCAAGAAATGTGAAGGTGTTCGAGGTGTTGGGCTCCAGGCCACTGGGAGGCCTGAGGAATGAACACACAGGCCAGAGCCACGCCTGTGGGCAGCCCTGCCCCTCGGCCATCTGCAGGGACCCCTGCCAGGGAGCCCCGACGTCCTCGCAAACATGCTAAAGCCATAGAAAGGGCACACTGTCCACCGGCAGCTGCTCGTTTCTTACCAGAGCCTGGAGTGTATTTATCAAGTTGTGTTTTAGGAGAATTGCACCCAGGCATTCCTATTGTGGAGGTGTTTCCCTAGCTCTCTTAAGGGAGATTTGAGAGGAAATTCAGCATATAATTCTCTACAAGCTCAGTCAGAAGTCTGCTTCCAGCACGGTCCTCTATAGCATTATGGTTGTTTGACAGTTTTCTTTATCCGGCAAAACATTGAAAAACCAGAGCCGAATAACCTGGTAACTTTTAGTTGAAAGAACTGGCAGCAGGGGCTATCTCATAAACAAACGATAAGCAAGAAATTTATTTGCAATCGTAAACCATTTTACCAAACAGCTAAGTAAGAAGGATTAGCAGCTGATTCATATTAATTGTGGGAGGAGCAGGCGTCTGAATGACACGGTCCTGTTCTTTGGGCCCCATCTCACTCTAGAGGATCAAACTGTCTAGTTTCGTCTTCAAAATTCATATTTTCTGGGAAGAGAAGGTATACATGAGTATATTTGATATTAACATTTTTCTATTTTAAAATTCATTTGCTAACAGATCTTTTGCAATAAATAATATAAATATTAAACATTTATCAGGCAAAAACGGAATGTTAATTTTTATCTTATACAGGCTTTTCTAGTTTTTCTTTTGGTACCAGCAATAGACTAAGCAAGGAGAAGCCATCAGGAAGGGACCCTGCCCTGCTCCCCACCCGCCCTGCCTCAGACGCTGCTCCTTGTCTAGGTGATATCTCCTTCCTGGTTTTGCCCATTCTGCCACCTCTCAGCCCTCTCAACTCACCTGAAGGTGCCCCCGTCAGAAATACTTCCTAATGCTGCCCAGGTGAGTCCTGCACCTGTCCTGCGCCCAGCAGCCACTGGGCAGCACACGGCAGTCACATGGCAGTCACACGGCAGTCACACGGCAGCCACATGGCTGTGACATGGCAGTCACACAGCTGTCACATGGCAGCACACACAGTAGTCACATGGCAGTCACATGGCAGCCACATGGCAATCAAGTCACTGATGTCCTGCAAGCTTTCTGTCGGCCCCCCAGGGGACAGGATGTGCCCAGAACCTCCTAGCACAGAGCATGTCTGTTCTGTTTAGATGCTGTTGGGACAGGAGCCTACCTGGTCCTCAGAGGACCCACGGCACTGTGCCTCTGAGGGGTCATCCTCGCCTGCATTATGCAAATGAGGGACGAAGGGAGGGCAGGATAAGAGGTCACCAGCCACCAACCCATGAGGCCAGGTTTTCAGGCGCAGGCCCTCAGCCTGAGGCCGCACATCCCGGAGCGTGATTCTTTGGTGCGTCACTGCAGCACTTAGGGCCACACTGCTGACGAAAGCCCAACCCCATGTGCGCTTAGAGCATTAAGGTAGAAAACGGTTTTATATGATTTACTTCAGATATTATTTTCAAAAGAAAGGGAAAGCTATTTGCTCTTCATTTCCAGTAAAGACGCTCTAAGCTGCACGGGGCCCCAAGCCCAGGGACCTCACACGCCAGGCTGCTGCTGGGCCACCGTTCACCTCTCCACCAAGGTGTCCGCTTCACGTCAGACACAGGAAATTGTTTTGAAAGAAGAGAAGCCTCTCTGAGATTTCTGGCCATGCCCTCAGCCCCAGGGAGAGATTTTTAAAGATTCCAGGACTGGAAGCCCCAAGCGGACCTGAAGTCACACCTCTGTCCCAGGACCAGCAGAGGCGGAAGGTTCTCGATTAATGGTACATTCAAACCCACTTTAAAAGGTCTGAGGGCTGGCCAAGTGGCTCAATTGGTTAAGAGCTCACTCAAGAGTGCAAGCTCTGAGCAACAGCAATTCGATTCCTGGCCCAAGCTGAGCTGCCGCTGAGCTGCCAACAGGTGGCAGGATGGCTCAGCTAAAAAAATTAAAAAATAAAAAATAAAATAAAAAGGTCTGGTTCCCGACACCACCAGCCCCTGACACACTCCTGCGATCAGCCAGAGTAAAGCATGTAATAAAGCCTGTCCATTTCTATCCATTTCTAACAGGACTGTGCAGCCTGAGGCCTGCTCTCCTGGTAGAAATGGAGATTAGCAAAGGGCAGAGGGTAAAAGAGCACACAGGACACCTGCTGTCCCTGTCACCATGGTAGGTTTGCAGGAGCAACTGAGGGGACAACATTCCTATGACCTGAGGGTCCTCTGAGACCACCTCCAGTCCCTCAGGTCTGGCCCAAGGCTGAGCTAGGTCAAAGGGCAGAGACCCCTACAGCCCATCCCAGCGTGAGTGTGTGTGTGTGTGCGTGTGTGTGTGTGTGTCCTCCCTTCCCTCCTGCACCCCCAGACCTCAGGCTCACCCTGGTCAATGGTGTCATAGTGCAAGTCCTCCGGACCGTTCTCATGACTCTCCTGCCTGAAGATATCTCCGTCTTCCTCTCCAGGCCTCAGGTAATCCATCTCCCCCTCTGACACATCCGTCAGAGGCTGGGCCTCCTCCACAGACTCTCCCCCCGCTGAGATGAAACCAAGGAAAACAGTGTCTGGTGGCACCGGCCTGTGCGGCAGCGGAAGGCTGCTTCCTCACTTGGGCGGTACCCGTCTCCCTCCTGCTGAGAGCAGCACCCACTTCTCCCACGGGGGACCTACCCTCCCCAGTGGAAGTCACCCAGCTCCAGCCCAGGCCTGGCCAACAGAACATCCTGTCCCCAGTTCAGGGATGGCGACTACTTCACAAGGCTTCTGACAGCCACATGGAGACAGAGAAGCACTCTGTTCCCCAGGGCTCTCGAGCCGATGGGGTGACAATTCAAGGAAGTCAGTGAGAGCTTGTGTCCACAGGGAAGAGCAGAGCCAATGCCCATGGGAGCAGAGACCAAAGACTGAGGCCTGATCCAGCCGCACCCAAGGCTGTCTCCACCCTGCCCTCTCCAGGTGTATGAGCCAATGAATTAACAATAGCATTACTTCACTTAGGCCAACTTGAGCCGGCTTTCAGTCCCTTGCAATAGAAGGACTAGTACCCAGTGTAACCTTCAAAGTTCCGGGCAGCCTGACTACTCGGGATGACCACTGTGACGGACACGGTTGAGTGCCGTCCAAACCCCTCTTCAGGAAGGGCTTGTCTGCCACCCAGCTGCTGTCAGCTGACTTACCTGAGGTCATGCCCACAGCCAATCACAGACCAAGATGAGGGGATAGGTGTTCCGAGGGACACAGGGACATGTTAGCTGCGGAGCTTCCCAAGAAATCCACCAAGTTTGTGGAGGGCCTCAGTCGTGCTGATCAGCCCCTTCCACGCTGACAGGCTCTGACCCCAAAGGCTCTCCCTAATAGCACCCTGCACACAGAGGGACCTAGATGGGCTTCCCAGGGAGCAGGGCCCACAGCCGGGCCAGGCGGAGGCGCCATACCCTCCGCGACAGGACCCTCCACGGCCGGGGCCTCTTCGCGGCCTGGTCCTTCCGTGGGCGGCAGCTCCTCAGCAAGGGTCGGTGTCCACAAGGCCAGCTCTGTGATTTTGGTAGCTCTCCATTTTGGAATGACGGCTATTAACGTCTCCTCCTCCTCTTCCTCTTCTCCTCTTTCCTATTTCAAGTTTAAAAATGTGAATTTACCAACACGTGTGGAAACCCAGTGTGGGATAAAGTAAGGGGACAAAAAAATTGCTTTTGAGTTTTTTGTAACATGATTCAGTGATCAGATCAATTGCCAGCTCTCTAGGATATGATCTAAGGGTGAAAGCGGATCTCAAAGAAACGAGGATGAGAAATGAAAAGTGCGTGGGGCACCGTACCTGCCTGTCCCTACTGATGCCAGGACAGTGCCAGCCGTGCACGTCCCAGCGAAGATGGAACTTCAATGGCTAAGAAGTGACCAAGATGAAACGCCCTTACCACTGGCCCAGCCACATTTTCCTGCTCTGAGATTCTTTATACCGTATTTGCCGGCGTATAAGACGATTTTTTGGCCCTGAAAAATATGCCTCCAAGTGGGGGGTCGTCTTATACGCCAGGTACACTTCAGATAGACTGCCCATAGTGCTTGCTCCGTGCCATAGTGGCCTCCCGATGCCCGCCCACTTCATTCCACATCCCGTTCAGGCATCAGCAGCGCTGCTGGGTGTATGCTCGGCTGTTATGCGATTTTGCTGTTATGCGATTTTACCACACTCGCAAAATCTACGGTACCAGTCTATAGAGTGTGTTTTCTTTAGTGAATTACCGGTATGTTTACCGGTAATAAACTTGCACTGTTTTATGTATATGTTTGATTACATACAGCCTTGTGACAGTTTTCCTGCATGTCATAAGCATTTGAATATAAATTAAAATGTTGAAATCAAATCTGATATTGTTTTACCTTTTATTTGGTGTGTGGAAGGTGTGCGGAAGAGGGGGTAGTCTTATACGGCGAGTATATAACAAACTCTGTATTTTGAGTGGAAATGTTAGGGGGTCGTCTTATACGCCCAGTCGTCTTATACGCCGGCAAATACGGTAATAAATCTGGTATCACCATAAGAAAAGGCCTAAAAATCGTGCTCAGATGACCTTATCATGATGTCGGGTATACACACCAAAGCTCCAGCCTCAAGGGTTACGGGGGAGAACAGAATCCCAGACCAGCTGCTCCCCCCACAGGAGGCAACCCCAGCCCGTCACGACCCCCGCCACCAAGCACAGACCTGAAGCGAAAGTCATGTGCTTGTCCCTGTTACGAAAGTTAACTGGAAATTTCTATTTCATCCCATTCCACTTTTTGAAAAGTTGCTCACAATCCACTAAATGAACGCCGTGACTCGTGAACAGGTTGCAACCCATACCTTGAAAAGCATTGTTCTAGAGCTAGTTACCCATCGGTAAACTTTCCTAGCAACTGTGTTGGGCCTTGCCGGCCATCCGGTGTCCGCGGCAACCCGTAACCTTGCCATTATAGTTCAAAACAGCCACAGGTGATTGGTAAGTGAATCACGGCATGGCTGGGCTCCAGGAAAACCTGTTTACTGCAACAGGAGGTGGAACCGCGTAAAATGGTGCAGCCGCTATAAAAACATTTGGCGGTTCCTCAAAAAACTGAACATAGAGTATCCTATGACCCAGCAGGTTCAATCCTTGGTACACACACAGAAGAACTGAAAACAGGGACTCAGAGAGACTCTTGTCACCAATGTCCACTGCAGCAACATTCGCAGTAGCCAAAAGGTGGAAACAACCCAAGTCCATCAGTGCAACATTATTCAGCCATAAAAAGAAGGAAATTCTGACACCTGCCACAACATGGACAAACCTTGAAAACAGTATACTAAGTGAAGTAGTCCAGACACAGAAGGACAAACGCTGTGCGATTCCTCTTATACAAAATATCCAGGATAGGCAGATTCAGAGACTGAAAACAGGTCCGAGGGAGCCAGGGGCCGGGGTTTGGGGGATTGGGAGAGACTTTAATGGGGACAGAGTTTCAGTTTGGGAAGATGAAAAGGGACAGATGGTGGTGATGGTTGCACCATATTGTGAATGTACTTAATGCCACTGGATTGGACCTTAAAAATGATTAAAATGGCAAATTTTATGTTATATGTATTTTGCCACAATTGAACAAAAACAGAACAGGCTGTGGCCAGGTTTGGCCAGTGGGCTGCAGTTCGCCGCCCCTTCTCTGCAGGGCATGCGTTGCCCTTATTGGGCCAGAGGAAAACATTGGGCTTTTCTGTCCCACCACAGTCTGAGCGTCACCCAGAGTGCAGTGGTGACCGCAGACAGAGGCCCTCAGGCATGTGCGTCAGTTCATGGGTTTACTCCCAAGCAGGAGCAGTGCTGGGGCTTCTGTCAGCACTGTCCCCCGGGGTGCATTGGTGTCCTTCCTACTTTCTTCTCATCCTCCTGAAACACCACCTCTAGCATCTTTCTCCAGGAAAGCTTAAAACTTCAAAATACTTAATGTGTTTTACTTTTCATCACTTCACAGGTGAGAATACTGCTCCGTCAGCACAGAACCAGGAAAGCTAGATCTGTTACCCGCGGTGGCGTGGTGAGCTTAGCGGACAGGTTCCTTCAGGGTCCAGGGAGAGCCCAGCAAAAGCACCAGCTACGTCACTGTCACAAGTAACAACAAAGCTGGCCGCATGTGTAAAGTTCTT